GCTGGGGTCCCTCACCCCAGCTCGGGGTCCCCAGGCCCCATCCACCGCTCGCCGCCCCCTCGGGTGAGGCCGGGAGCGCGCCCTCGCGGCAATGTCCGCGGCAATGCGCGGCAATGTCCGCGGCAATGCGCGGCAATGTCCGCGGCAATGCGCGGCAATGCCCGCGTGATCGTGCGGCGCAAGCGCTGTGCGGAGGGCGAGTGGCGCAGCAGGGGGCGGCGGTGGTCCGTCGTTCTCTGAGGCTGGGCTGTCTCGGCGCGGACTTGTGAGGCCTGGTCGTCCAGGCACCGAGTTGTGGTCGCGGGGAACCTCTTCTCCCTACTTACGATCGGTTCGCCCCTACAAAAAGTCGAACGTCGCTTGCCGCTTCTAGTAACCGACATAGCCGCCGCTAACCATATGACCAGCCAATGCCATCGATGAGCATGCATCCATAGACAAGCCCAGCCACGCACGATAACACGTTCGAGCTCAAAGACGTCGATAAACCTCAAGGCAACCGTGTACTGACTGCAGTATCCGCCACCGTGCCTCCGGCACGTGGTGGAGTGCTTCAAGGCTCACAAAACCCTGAGAGGTGGAGAGCTTGTAAGGTTCTTAGGGGCCCATACCCCCGTGCTGCTCCCAGGCGCTCGCTCTTGGGCGCTACTGGGCGCTACCGGGGTGTGTCGCAAGGGCCTCTGAGACGGTAAACCCGCCCAACGGGGCCCCGAAACGGGCGAAGAGGGCCCCAGGAAGCCCCCAGCAGGGTCCGAGAGGCCTCCAAGACGGCCCGAGAGCCTTCCAAGACGCCCCAGATGGCCTCGGGACGAGCCAGGAGGCCCCCGAGACGCCCCGGGAGAGTCTAAAGAGGGGAGCCCCAAAAAAGGCCCCAAGAAGCAAGAACCGTCTCAATCCCGTAGGAAAGCGCAGATCGGCGGCGAGCGAGGGGGGAAAGAGAGAAGAAGAAGGCCTTCTCAGAAGGCGGCGGGGCTTCTCGGAGGCTCTCCGGCCTTCCGAGAAATGCTCTGCTTCTTCGGGGAAGGCTTAGGAAACTTCTCGGAAGGCCGGAGGACTTCCGGGCCTTCTGGGAAGACCTTCTCCTTCTCACATCCCCCCCGAACGCCCCCAAGCTAGAGGAACAACCACGGAATGACCTGAGGAACAGCGAGCCCCGTCCGAGCGAAGAGCGGTCCTTACTTTTCAGCGTCTTGGCCGCATCGCCGATCCATTGGCGATGCATCGCAGACTCTGGGTCGGCGTCTCCCCCCGTTTGTCCGCCCCCTCCTTCTCACTTGCCCCCCGGGAGCGCCGCCGAGTAGACTTTGAGCGTGTTCACCTGTTTCGTTGTCGCAGCTTCATGATAAACCCACAAGGCCGCCCACGAGGCTCCCATGAAGGGCCCAGGGCAGCCCAGGAGGAGCCCCCAGACGGCCCAGGAGGCCCCACAAGGCGGCCCCAAGAGGGCCCCAAGAAGGCGCCCAGAGAAGCCCCCGAGGGGGTCACGGATGCACAGTTCGAGCCCTCCGCCCCAAGGTGCCTCCAGGAAGCCTCGAGACGCTCCCGAAGAGGCCAAGCTTCGAAACCCGGTTTTGCAATGCGTTCTCTGCGAAGATACACAACACAGAGCATGTACGGACAAGCAGGGAAGGCTTTGAATGCACATGGCCATGAGAAAATACCTTGCAAAAGACACCCTGCTTGCTTCATCTGGTCGATGTGACGGCGCCTGCCGACGAGTCACAAAACTTGTTTCTGTCAGCAGAGACGGTTCGCCGCATGACATAATCAACATCATCACCGCCGCTTTACTGTGGAAAATTCCCCCCCTCTTCCTCCGGAACCCGGGGGTCCCCCCCCCCTTTCCGAAAATCCCCCCGGCTGGACCCACCCCCCCCTCCCCCCCCCCCGCAAAACCCTCCCCCTCCCCTAACCCCCCCCCCCTCCGGAAAACCGAGGGGAATCACTACGGGTTCGAACCCCCCCACTCCCCCCCTCCGAAAAATTGGAGGAGGGGTCACTACCGGTTCGAACCCCTCCCCCCCGCCACCAGAAAACCAGAGGAGGGTCACTACCGGTTCGAACCCCTCCCCCCCCCTGTCCCGAGGAGCGGGAATCGTTTGCCGGCGGCGAGGGGAGGGGGGGGAGGAGGGGGTTCGAACCGGTAGTGACCCCCCCCCGGTTTTCGAGAGGGGGGGGTTCGAACCGGTAGTGACCCCCCCCCCGCTTTTCATGATGGACTGGGGGGGGAGGAGGGGTTCGAACCGGTAGTGACCCCCCACGGTTTTCGAGGGGGGGGGACGGTTTGGGAACCCCCAGTGACCCCCCCCGGTTTTCCGCTAGCAGCGGTAGAACACACTCTTTCGAACCTTTGGAACCCTGCGCGCGGCGAGCGTGGCGGTGTCACGTAGTGTACCAGGCTCTGCGCACCAACGTGATTCTCGAATTTGCGCAATTGACGATGGAAGGGTGCTTACACGTTGTGGTGTTAGTTCCCGCAGTGATCGTCGCGGGCGCCGCTAGTATCAACTCTGGGTAGCACGCACGAGTAAATACCACTGCCACCACCATCGGGGTCACCGCTTCGAGCAACTGCAAACGGCGAAACGGAGGACCACGTCCGCCAATCATGCTGTCGGCGACCTGGCTGACACGGATGGGCGTAAAACGGCCGTGCGCCCACAGGCGCGTCGAGAGGCGATACACATCGAACGAGTTCACTGGCAGCCCGAGAGCACACTCATCTTGAGCAAGATTCCCAAATGTACGACAGTGCGGCTCCTCGCGCAGCGCACGGCTGCAACTCCGAAGGTTTCGCCGTCCACGTTTCCAGGCGTGCTCGTTTGTCGCGCGCGCTGCCACGTGCCCACCCCAAGAAGAGCAGAAGGCAGAGTCTCGCAGCGGGTCGATGGGCTGCCCTCGGGCCGCTCTGCCGCACACTGATCCGCCGCCCGCCGAGACACGTCACCGCAGCGAGTGATAGCATAGGACACAGGCGATCGTGAACTCTACCAGGCGTGCAGGTGGGCGGCTGCGCTAGACGAGCGAGCGTGCAGGGGTGCTGCCGCACACACGCACACACGCACACATGCACACACACACATACTTCTTGGCGTCGCGGCCACACGCGCAGCAGCGTAGCGGAGTCGTGCTGAAGCCGACGAAGAGCGCGGGCGCTGGCCAGCTCAGAGGCAGCATGGGCATGGCAGATGCACCCATACAGAGGACCGAGCAGCACGACTCGCGGGGAAGCCCCCGCGAGGGAGTGACTGGGGGGGAGGGGCGAACGACAGGGAGAGAAGAACCGCACGGCGGAGGAAGGCACTGCGAAGGAGTACCAACGCACACACACACACACTTTTCGTCGGCGGCGAAGCAGAACGGCTGCACCAGCGGTCGGGCTAAACGGGGACACCGAGAAGCGAGTTGCCCAGCGTGCAGGAGGGGAGACTGAGACAGGCGGGGCGGCCGCGGAGGAGGAGAGAGGAGGGGGCACTCAGAGGCGGAAGACTTCCGACCTGAGCGCGGCACACACACACACACTCACACTCACACTCACACTCACACACTCAAACTCACACACACACACACAGCGACCCGCCAGCGGACGCACCAACGGAGCGAAGTCCGACACCTCGCGAGAGGGGGGGCGCCTCGCCTGGAACACGAGAAGTAACGAGCGGACAGCCGCGCATGCCGCCGACGCCAGCCGCATCGGAGCACGGCTGCACGCGCTGGTTCTGCGCTCACCAAGAGGGCGATTCCACGGCCAAGGGAGCAGTCTGAGACCCCACGAGAGGGCACCCGGCCTGGACCACGAAGAAGCACTGAGTGAGGGAGCGGAAGCAACGTCGGTGACACCCCGCCAGGGGGGAGCCATCGGCGTGCGCTGAAGGAGCACCAGGAGTTCGGTAGAGGCTTCCTAGATGGGGTCGGAGCAGATGGGGTCGGAGGATCGCGCCGCATCGCCGATACATCTGCGATGTATCGGCGATGAACTGGCGATGCACCGGCGATGCATCGGCGACGTCGGCGTGAAGCAAATCGGGCCCCACATCGAGCCGCACCGCCGATGCATCGGCGACGCGGAGCGATCCCTCGACCCCCCCCCCACCTGCTCGGACCCCATCTGGGAGACCTAGATTCGGACGAGAACGTCAGAGATCCGCTGACCCGGGTCAATCCAGACCCGGGTCAGTCGGGCCTTGCAGGATCCTGCAAGATCCTGTACCCAAACCCGGGTCAAGGCGAAGGATCCTGCAGGATCCTGCAAAATCCTGCACCCAAACCCGGGTCAATGCGACCCTGGCCCTGCAGGATGCTGCAAGATCGGGCGCTCTGGCCGACCCCCCCTTTGCATTGACCCCCGTCTCAAGGCTCCCGAGAACCAAGGAACAGCACGCTGCCGGGCTCCCAACGGCGGCGTGCCCGAGTGATCTTGTCTTCCCCCCCCCGAGAGCGCGGGGAGGGGGCGGTCGTGCTCACAAGGTGCCGCCGAGGCGGGAGATCCCAAGCGGCGGCGTGCCCCGCGCGCGGGGGTCGGCACCGGGCCCCAGGGCACCGTGCGGGGCCCCCCGGTCGGGAGGAGGAGGGCGGGAGGAGGGGAGAAGGGCAGGGAGGAGGGAGGAGGGAGGAGGGGAGGGGAGGAGGGAGGAGGGGAGGGAGGAGGGAGGAGGGGAGGGAGGGGGAAACCAGGGAGGGGAGGAGGGGAGGAACCAGGGAGGGAGAGAGGAAGGGGGCGCGGGGCGAGGGAGGGGAAGCGAGAGACACAGAGAGCTCGTGCGTGGGCCTGGTGAGGGGTGGTTGGGCGCGCGCGGACTGAAGAAACAGAGGAGACACCAGCATCAGCAAGGAGGAAGGGGCGAAGGGAGAGCGATGAGGAGACGCGGGAGGAGGGAGGGCGAGAGGGAGGGAGGACAGCAGAGGGGATGCGGAGCAGGAAAGGGGCAAAAGGCGAAGGAGGGCGACGGCGGCAGCTGCAGGAGCGGTGGAACGGGCGAAGCAGCGGGCGAAAGAGAGCCTTTTCAATCAAGCTGTATACCTCTCATAGACGCCCTAGCCATATGGCCCTTTGCCATGGGGGGCGCCCTTGCTACCGTACGCAGTCATGGGCCGATAGTAGTCGCCATGTCCTGAAGCAAGCGTTCGGCCAGGTAGGAAGACGGCGAGGACGGCAACGAAGGTTTTTTTGCACGGTTTTGTTTTGCAATCTTCGAAGGTTTTTTTTGCAATCCTTCGTTTTTTGCAATCCTTCGTTTTTTTGCAATCCTTCGTTCAAGGTTTTTTGCAATCCTTCCAACAAGTACGAGAGGACGAGAGAACGGGAGAACGAGAGAGAGAGGGAAGGACACAACAAAGAAAGAGAACGAGAGAGAGAGAGAAGGACACGACAACGAAATGCAAACCTGCGGGGAAGGGGGGTGGGGGGAGGAGGAGGGAAAAGCGAAGGGCGAGGAGCGGGACGGGAGGAGGAGGGAGTGAAAGGGGAAGGGAGGGAGGAGAGGGGAGGGGGGGAGAGGCGGAAGCCAAGAAAAGCCAGAGAGACGATCCAAGCTCAAGGAGCACAGTCGGGTGATTCGACCTGGTCGCAGCCCGGACCCGAACAGGCAGAGACTGAGACAGGCCCACTGCAGGGCGAGCCTCTGCTTGTTACCCCCGCCTGGCGATCGGCCAGTCTTGGGGGTCACTGACTTGCCAATGCGGACGACGTCTGCTGGAATTGTGCTGCTTGGCCACGAAGTGGCCTCCAGACTTCTGGAAAACAGCCCCCACAAAGCCCCCACGACGGCCCAACGGGGCCCCAGGGAGGCGTCAGAAGGTCCCAAAAAAAAAAACAAAATGTTGTGTTGCTCCGGAAATGGGGTACGCAAACTAAAACTGATTGCAAACCGCAACAACCAACAAAACCTAAAAACGCGCACGACCACAAGGCCACGACTTCAACAAAACAAAAAACATGAACCGATGTCAGAAGCCCGATCCCTATTGTACGTCTGTTTGGGCGGGAGCAATGACGGGGAGAATAAAAAAAAGAGAAGGGAAGATGGAAGTATTTTCGAAGCTGAGTAGCTGCCATGTGCATGCCGCTATCTACGGACAGCAACTCATTGCCAGTTACACTACAGCGGTGCAAAACAAGTCGAAGGGCTCCCAAACCCGCAACATGCCCCCAGGCGGCCCACAAGAAGCCCCCACGGGGCCTTGAGAAGCCTCCAGGAGCCCTGAAAAGGCTCCACGAGGCCGCCCCCCTAGGCCTCCAAGAGGCCCCGGAGAAGCCACGCAACATTTTTCGGTCGTGGCGCGGCAGAACGATCCGCTCGCGCGTGGAGCAACCCGGGCTACGGCGCTGCGAAATGCCCCGCGTGAAACGGGGGAAGGGAAAGGAAGGGAGAGGCGGCCGCAGAAGAAGATACAGGGGGGAGAGCGCTCTCACGCAGCGGCGCCGCGACGGGGCGCAAGTGGCGGCCGGGCTGCGGGGCGGCCCCGGGCAGCGGCGCGGGGCGGCGTCACAGGCGCACCCAAGGGAGGGGCCAGCAACCGCAGCGCGAGCAGAACCCAGCAAGGGGGGGCGGCAGCGGCGGGCGGGAGGCGGACTGGAGGCGCCCACACGAGGGGCGGCTGCCGGGCGGCTGCCAGGGCGGGCGGGCGGCGGGCTGGCCAGGCCAGCACGGCGCAGCAGGGAGGCGGGTGCAGGGCAGCCGCGGGGAGGCAGGCCGACGCGGCCAGGCATGGCCTGCGCCGAAGAGGCAAAGCGCCAAAAGGCGACCAGGTCGCGCGGGCCCAGGCACAGGGCGGAGAGGCAGGGGGACGGAGAAGCAGCCTGCCCAGGACCGGCGCACGCATCACAGCCAAGGACAAGGCAACGCCCAGCGCGAGTAGAAACAGGGCGTCGGCCCCCAACAGGCGGCAAAAACAAGGGGAGAGCCGCAACAGCGGCGCCCCTAAGTTTGGCAGCGCGATCTGCCGGCAGGGGCGGCGGCCAGCCTGCAGAGCCGAGGGGCGGGCGGGCGGCGACCGCGCCACACCGCCCAGCGAGGCCCGGGGCGGCAGCGCTGGGCGGCTACCGATAGCTTTCGGGGCGGGCACGGCACTGAGAAGGCGTCCGCACCAGCGCAGGGGGGAGAGTGGCCCGCAGCCAGCGCCAACGCGGCCTGCGGGGAGGGAGGCCCCAGACGCGCGAGGCGCAGCACCTGGGTGGGCTGCTGCGCCACCGCAGAGGGGACTGCGCCTTCAGCTGAGAGGCGCGAACAAGCCGGCATTGGCCAGCCAGCAGCGGGCGGGCGAGGGCGCCCCCCAGAGGCAGGGCGCACCAGGGCCAGGCAGGGGCGACCCGCCTGGGGTGGACGGCACGCCCACTGGAGAGAATTCAACTTGCGAGCGGACAAATCGAAAGAGCCAGGGCAGGCCAGCGACGGCCAGGCGCGCCACCTGGGGTGGGCACCGCCTGGGGTGGGAGGCGCGCCGGGGGAACGAACCTAGCTGGTGCGTAGACAAGTGGAACAGCTGAGGCAAGTCCAAAGCACCCAGGCGCACGCCTGGGGCGATGGCGCCACTGGGGCCTGCCAGCAGGCGCGCCAACTGGGGCGGGGGCGGGCCACGAGAAAACACTTAACTGGTGCGCAAACAGATGGGGCGAGGGCAAGGCGTCACCCGGAGGCGAGGGCGCCGGGCGACGCGCGCCCCCCGGGGCGGCAGGCGCGCCGGCAGGGAAGCACCTAACTGGCGCGCAGACAAGTGGACAGGATGCGCGCACCTCCAGGGATGGAAAGCACCGCGCTGTCGCCGCTGCCGAGGTAAGTCGCAGTCGCGTCGAGCGGGCCAGGTAGTGGCGAGCCACCTCCACCTGTCGTCCGTAGAGCCCGCGTAACCGGGACTGGTCCCCCGTGGGCCAGGTCGGTTCGCCGGGGCGTTTTCCTCCTTGCCCCTTCCCAGCTGCCTGTCTCTAGCAGTTTTGCTGCTGCTGCTACGCTGCACTTCAATCGAAATCTGGCCACGGCACAGGGCGCGGACGTCGCGGTTGGCGTCGGCCAGGTCGCCCAAGAAGGCGCGGCTGAACTCGGCGCATCCGCGGGGGTCGCAAGCCCCCTTAAGACGCCCCGCCGCTCTCGTCGCAGGCCCTGTTCCAACCTTCCACGAAGAGCGCGCCGCAGGCGGCTTTGAGGCGGTCGGCGACCTCAGGCCAGGTCTCGACGTCTACCCTCCGCATCTCCCCACTGAGGTGTTGCGTCTGGGCGCCCTGTACAGGCGATCCTCGGGGCCCTCCCGCCCCCTCCGCCCATGGGCCTCTATGGCTGCTCCCCGCGCGCCCCGGCCCTGTACCGAGCGTAGCGGTTCGGCCAGGGCCGTTTCGGCGGCTTCGCCCAAGGCCCCCGAGCAGCTTGCTTGCCCTGGAGGAGCCATGCCAGGCGGGCGCCAATGGGCCCGCCCCTGATCGTCAGCCAGGAAGCGCAGATTCGCACGCATTGGCGCCGCCTCTGCGCACCCCTACTACCATCCTCGGCGGGGGCCAGGCGGCAACCGCTATCCCCGCTCGCCGGCCTGCGCGCGCCAGCAGGCGGCCCTGCGCGCGCCAGCGTCGCCCCCGGTAAAGACGTAGCCTCCCAGGCTGACGACGGGACAGGTCCCCGGTGAATTCCCGAGACACCCTCGGCGCATCATGCGGCCGCAGCCCAGGCGCGCGTCTCCGTCAGAGCTAGGGGCGCGTTCATCAGGTTGCTCGCCGGGCGCGGACGAGGGCGGCATACTTGCTCTGCGAAGGTCGTCGCCGTCGCCCCAGTCTGGATTTGGTGAGGCACTGGCACTGGGGCTGATAATCCCACCCCCAGGCTCCAGACGTCGGCTGGCGGCCTCGTCCGTCTGCCTAATGTTCGCTGAAGCCAGGCCGCTACCCCCTCTAGGCGGAGTGCCCCTGCTCTGCCTCGCCAGGCGCCGGCACTTCCGCGAGGGGGCCTAGGGCGCCAGGGTCGGGCGGCCGTCGGGGTCTGGCTCGGCACTCGGGTCGCCCGCGGCTTGCCCAGGCGCCGCCGTTGAGCTGGCGGGCGCGCCGGGTTGCGCCCCGCGCAGCCTGCTGTAGTTGGCCAGCTTGGCTGTGTCACAAGTACGCGGACATACGATAACCCCGAAGAGTGTCGCGCGAGTGAGCGGGATCCACTTTTCCTCACTAATGGGGAGCAGTGCGCAACTTAGATCACCGCGCCTGGCTTCGGAGGAGGGAAAGAGAGAGAGAGAGAGAGAGAGAGAGAGAGAGAGAGAGAGAGAGAGAGAGAGAGAGAGAGAGAGAGAGAGAGAGAGAGAGAGAGAGAACGAGAGAGAGAGAGAGAGAGAGAGAGAGAGAGAGAGAGAGAGAGAGAGAGAGAGAGAGAGAGAGAGAGAGAGAGAGAGAGAGACGAGAGAGACGGGAGAGACGAGAGAGACGAGAGAGACGAGAGACCCAGACTCTAGGGGCTCGATGGGGCCATCTGGGAACAGCGGGCCTAACTTTCCTCGCCCGAACTCCGACGCCTCCTGCTTCCAGAAAGATCGGTTCTGATTCATATTCTGGCTCCTGCTCCTCGTCCCCTCTACCTCCTCGGCAGTTTCTGCCTCCTCGGTAACTGCCCCCCTCATATTATCGCCCCTTCCGGGCCTTCTCCTCGCCCTCGGACACCTTAGAGAGCGCCTCAGCTTCAAACGGCTTCTCGGAGGCCCCGCGAGACCTATTCTTGAGGGAGACATTCAGGGCCCGCTCGGCCGCGTGCCGTTCCTCATCGATGAGACACAGCGTGCCCTTAGTGAGCACGTCATGCAGCGCCGCATTCCCTCTGGCCAGATCCACCTTGGCATGGGGGTCGGCTGGCATCACGCCATGGGGCATCCACCTCACTTGCGACCCAATTCCTGCAAACGCATCTCGCATCACCGCCACCTCAACTGCAGTCCGACGGTCGGCTTTAGACCCTGCACGGTTCTTGGACACAGTGTCAAAGATACTCTTTGCATCAACAATGCACAGAGCAGAGGCGGCATCTCCTAGCTAGCACTCGCGAAGCAATATCACTGAAAATGGGCCCAGCGACTGGGACCAGTCGGGCACTTGAACATCTCCGAACAGAGCGCCCCCCCGGATGATCTGCAACCACTGGGCTTCAGCAGC